CTGAGATCGATAGTGAAATGTATTGTGCGATTGATTGTGATATCGATAGCGAGATCGATAGCGATATCGAGTGTGAGATCGATAGCCAGATCGATTGTGAGATTGATCGAATGAGATCGATAATGAGATCGATAGCGAGATCGATAGTGAGATCGATCGAGTGCGACGGTGGTCCCCCCCCCCTCGCCTCCTTATCACCCGAAGGGTGGTCTATGCGGTATATATATATATATATATATACATACATAGATATACACACATAGATCCCCCAAGACACCCCAAGAGGCCCCCAAGAGGCCCCCCAAGGGAGCCCCAAGGGGCAAACATAACCCCATCCCGAACGTAAAACGTAAATGTTTGACATGTGTATTGTTTTCGCTGCCATACCGTTCTTGGCGACCTCAGAGGTCCCCCAAACCGCCCCAAGACGGCCCGAGAGGCGCCCCAGAGGGCCCCAAGATGGCCCAAGGGGGCCCCAAGACGGTCCAAGAAGCGCTCAAGGCGGCCCAGACGGGCCCCCAAAGGGGCCCAAGAGGAGCTCAATATAAGGACATCCAAGTCGAGCCCCCCGCCCCAAGAGGACCCCCGAGGCCCGCAAGAGGCCCCCGAGAAGCCCCCAAGAGGCCCCAAGAGGCCCTCCAAATGCCCCAAGAGGCTTGCAAAACGCTCCCCAAGGGAGCCCCCAGGAGCAAAAATCGTCCAATTCCCTCCGGAAAGCGTAAATGTTGGGCATATTCGCCTGATTCGCCTTCCCAGCGTCCAAGACGGCCCCAGAGGTCTCCGAAAAACGCCCCAGAGGTCCCCAAGAGGGTTTCAAGACGTCCCAAGAAACGCCCAAATCCCCAAGAGGCCACCAAGACCGCTCCCAGCGGGGGTCTCGGACGAAGGCTCCGAATGGATTTTCCCGTCCTTGCGCTGGAGAGGCCCCCAGGAAGCTCAAGGAAGTCGCCAAGAGGCCCCTCAGAGGTTTCCAGAGACCCCCAAGAGACCAAGACAGTCCAAGAAGCCTTCAGGCGCCCCAAGAGGCCTCCAGAATGCACCCTAAGGGAGCCCCAAGGACCACACATCGCCCAATTCCTTTTGGAAGTATTTGTTTCGCATATTCGCCTGATTCGCCTTCCCAGCGTCCGAGACGGCCCCAGAGGTCTCCGAAAAACGCCTCAGAGGTCCCCAGAAAGGTTTCAAGACGTCCCAAGAAGCGCCCAAAACCTCCAAGAGGCCACCAAGATCGCTCCCAGCGGGGGTCTCGGACGAAGGCTCCGAATGGATTTTCCCGCCCTTGCGCTGGAGAGGCCCCCAGGAAGCTCAAGGAAGCACCCAAGAGGCCCCTCAGAGGTTTCCAGAGACCCCCAAGAGACCCCAAGACAGTCCAAGAAGCGTCAAGGCGCCCCAAGAGGCCTCCAGAACGCACCCTAAGGGAGCCCCAAGGAATCGCCCAATTCCTTTACGATGTTTTTTTCGCATATTCGCCTTGCGCTGTCCCAGCGTCCAAGACGGCCCAAGGGGTCTCCGAAAAACGCCCCAGAGGTCCCCAAGAGGGGTTCAAGACGTCCCAAGAAGCGCCCAAACCCCCAAGAGGCCACCAAGACCGCTCCCAGCGGGGGTCAGGCGGCCCAAGAGGGCTTCAAGACGGCCCCGAAGGTGTCCAATAAGGCCGGGGAGACGCCCAAGACGGCTCCAAAAGGGGCAGGCCAAACGGACAGTCCGTTTCTGCCGCACCAAAATGCCCTCAAGAGCTCCCAAGAGACCCCGAGAGGCCCCGAAGAGCCCTCCAAGACGCGCCTCGCACGGGAACAACGACAACCAAGGACGACGGCGAGGACGAGGGACGACGCCGACGACACGGTCGAAAGACGACGACGACGGCGACGACGATTGACGATCGACGACGAAGACGAAGAAGATCGACGACGGCGACGACCACAACGACGACGACGCCCGTCATCGGAATTTCTCAGTTTTCCATGTGGTTCTCCCAGACAAGCTTTGTGGACAGGTCTGGTTGGGTCAGGTCAGGTTTTCGCGCTCGCCATTGCGCTCCTCGTCAAGTCCTTGCACTGCGAGTTCCGTGGCCACGACTAGAACCTAAGCGCGCGCGAAACTCGCGCGTGGTTTCTGTATATATATATATACACATATAAACATATATATCCACAGTCTATTCTTCAGGTTTGCCCTCAGATCGGTTGGATTTTCTACTTAACAGCATATCGCTGTGCACGCCCCCGCGCAGTGCTCTCTCTTCCTCTCTTCGCCTCTCCTCTCTCTCCCCTACTCCTCTCTTTCTTTGTCTCCCCTGGGCTGCCGCTGGCGAAAGCCGGCGGAGGCAAACGAGGGTGGCTCCGCTGGCAGACGGCTGGCGGCCGACGGAAGTAACAATTGGCCCTCCAAGGGACGACCGCATCGTTGGCTTCAGGGTTCCTGGAACCCGCCATGGTCAGCCACGCGCGGAGGGGGTTCGGGAGAAGGGGGAAAGGCTTCTTAGAAGCACCCCTGCTTCTTAGAAGGCGCGGGCCTCGTCTACAGGCGTAGGGCCGGCGCCTTCCGAGAAGCGGCATCCTTCTGAGAAGCCTTCCCCCCCCCCTGTCCCCTTGGCGCGCGCCGCCAACACGTGCCCCCCCCCGCGCTGCCGGCGCGTCGGGCTGCCGCCCTGCTTGGAGCCTGCACGGACTTCGGGAGAGGGAAGTGTGCGGATGCCGCTGCCCTTCCCTCGCCTTCACTCGGCGGCGAGCGAGAGAGGGGGGGGGGAAGGAGACGGAGAGGGTTTTCTCGGAAGGCGCCGGGACTTCTCAGAAGGCCGAGGGCCTTCTGAGAGGTTTTTTGTGTCCTCGGGGAAGGCCTGGAAAGCAGCGGAAGGCCGGGGGACTTCCGAACCTTCTGAGAAGGCCCGCCCCCTTTCATTTTCCCCCCGCGCTGGTCGTCGATTCACGTTTGGATTCGCTTCGAAATTCTGGTGAGAATGCGCTCCTGGGTAGAGGTCTGGGGAGCAGCGGTATCAGTACCGTTAGGCCTCCCCAGCGATCCCCCTCCTACGCCTTTCCCTTATCCTCCTCCTCCTCCTCCTCCTCCTCTTCCTCCTTCTCCTGCTCCTCTTCGTGTTCATGTCGCTCGTTCTTGTTCTACTCCCCCTCCCCTGCCCCCCTCGCGTTTCCACGTCCTCTTCTATCCCTCCTCACCCCTCTTCCCTTCACAGGTTTCTGAGAACGGTTGGACACCTCACTGGGAAGCGCCCGATCTCCTTCAGCACGTGGTTGGCGAACGCCAGTACCCTCCGCAACAGAGCCCAGATGCCTCCGAGCGCTTCTCTGTGGCCTCTGGGAGCCTGGCGTCGGCCAGTCGCTGGAGGCGTGCACAGGACTTCCCAGCGAGCCTCCGAAAGAGCCCCTCTACCAGGCACGCGTCGTCTTGAACTATTCTCCCAAGTATCGCTCGAGGACTTAAGTTTAATCACGGTAGCCCCCCCCCCACACGACAAACAAATACCTTGTGACGTACCCAACCCTTTCTATACATGTGGCGATTCTACTCAGGACCATTGAATGCTGACTGGCATTCTGAAGGACCCGCAGTGCGCAAGAAGAGTACCCAGCACTGATTTCAGAAGGGCGCAGCAAGAAGAGCCCACGAAAGTGGCGACAGTTGCGCAGATCGCAAGCCCCCCAGGGGGCGGCGATGTCCCGAGGTGGTACGCGTATGACGTACCTCCGCTGGGCCTCCCAGGAGCCCAGGAAAGTGGCGACGGTTGCGCAGATCGCAAGCCCCCCAGGGGGCGGCGAGGTCCCGAGGTGGTCCGCGTATGGCGTACCTCCGCTGGGCCTCCCAGGAGCCCAGGAAAGTGGCGACGGCTATGCAGATCGCAAGCCGCCCAGGGGGCGGCGAGGTCCCGAGGTGGTCCGCATATGGCGTACCTCCGCTGGGCCTCCCAGGAGCCCACGGGAGTGGCGACAGTTGCGCAGATCGCCCGCCCGCCCAGGGGGCGGCGATGTCCCGAGGTGGTCCGCGTATGGCGTACCTCCGCTGAGCCTCCCAGGAGCCCACGAAAGTGGCGACAGTTGCGCAGATCGCAAGCCCCCCAGGGGGCGGCGAGGTCCCGAGGTGGTCCGCGTATGGCGTACCTCCGCTGGGCCTCCCATCAGCCCAGGAAAGTGGCGACAGTTGCGCAGATCGCAGCCCACCCCCCCAGTGATCGCAACCTCTAGGCAAGGACACCCAACAGACAAGACGGCGAGGCAGGATTCAGGAACCAGACGGCGGGAGAGCACAGAAGGCAGGAGCGAGGGGAGGCGGGAGAAGGAGGGTGGAGGCCACACTGCTCTACTCAAAGTGAGAACCCAACGCAGGAGGGCTGGGAACAAAAACAACGGAAGAGCCCCACAGGGGGGACGGGGAGCCCGAGAACGCTCCCTAGATCGCTGGACTTCCTCGCAGTGCATCCAGGAATCGCGCTCCCGCCCCGCTGCCGGCAACATTTTGGGCCCACATGGTCGCCATCCTCTGCACGCCATGCACCAAGGTGCACATGGCCATGCTACCTAGATCGCTTGACTTCCTCACAGTGTACTCCGGAATGGCGCTCTCGCCCCGCTGCCGGCCACATGTTGGGCCCATATGGTCGCCATCCTGTGTACGCGATGCACTAAGGTGCACCTGGCCATGCCCCCTCACGCTTGTCCCCCCCCTCCCGCTCCTCGACCCGCCTCTTCGCCCCTGCTGCTGTCAGGATGGCATGCTGGGTCCCTGCAGTGTCGGGCCCCCGGACGTCCCAGACCCCCATCCCCGGGGCGAGCCTTTCCATCCCTGGCCGCTGCCTGGACGGTCCCAGGGGCCCAGGCGTGGGCTCCCGGAGGCCGGAATCGGCCGCAGACTCCTCCTCCTCTTTCTCCTCCTCCTCCTCCTCCTCCTCCTCCTGCCCCCTACTCCTCCTCCTCCTCCTCCTCCTCCTCCTCCTCCTCCTCCTCCTCCTCCTCCTCCTCCTCCTCCTCCCCCTCCCTCCTCCGCAGGTTCTCCGGGACCCCGTGGCGCCGCCGGCGACGCCGCCCTGGCTGTCGGTGCCCTGGGCGGGGCGCCAAGGCCAGGGCGCGAGGCAGAACCACGGGCTCGACTGTGCCGAGATTCGCGCGGGAGCGTCCCGCGCAAGGTCGCGCACGAGAGTGCCCTCCTCTCCACGTTTGGAGTGCCACGCTGGCGGCCTGCATAGTTAAGCTGCGGCGTGAGGCGATGTCTTCTCGCGTAGAACCCGTGTGTTGCGTCGCTGGAGTTTCAACTTGCTGGCACTGAGTCGGGGACGTCCAGGAGGAATATGCAACAATGGTGAAAAATAGTATGGGGAGGTTTATTTCTACTATTTCTCTTCCTCCAACTCCGCCTGCAGGAGGACATGCCCGAGCTAATATTAGCACCAGGCCCTGGCCGGGGCCAGTTGTGGACCCAGGATGGGCTTGGCCAGAGTCGGCAGCAGCCACAGACGATCATGAACCTCGCCGCGAGAAATCTAGGGGCACGCTTGTCGCCGTCGAGCCTCTCAGCTTCCGAGGCGCCCCGGGGCTTCTCTGCGTCCCCGGGGCCCAGGGGGGGATGGGGAAGTCCCGTGGAGCACCCGACGGCAAGGCGGTTTCCTATGCGACGTGCATGCTGTATGGGTTTCGCCGCGCGCAGGACCTGAGATCCGGGCGGTGCGTGACATTTGTCTACAGGGAGCGTGCTCGCCCGGCTCTGGGCCCCCGGGCTCTCGCATATGAGGCGTTTTGGAAAGCGACCAGATCGGATCCCAACCGGAGGGTCCAGACCCCAGCTGGTGAGAAAACCGGAACGGTTCAGACCCCTACCTCCGGACAAAGATTTGCTCACATCTGTGACTTCGTGATCGTCTTGGCAATGAAGACCGAAAGGCATCCGTTCAGGAAACATTATCGTTTTTCATATGCGCATCTTGGACCTAGACCTTTTCCACTGCCTTGTTATACGCAGGTTCTGGGTGCTCCAGAACGGCCATATACGTTCAAGGCGCTCCGAGACGACAGCGAATATGAGCGTAGACAAAACGTGCACACAATGTGTGTCAAGTTTATTTAAAACGCATGGGGCGCGTATCCGAAATTTCATCGCAGCCGACACGAAGCGTTTGCGGAACGTACATGCCACGCATGCGAAACGTATCGCAAACGTACAACACCGTGTACGCAACACAGTGGTCACGTAGATGACGCCTGTATGAACGCACCCCCAACGGATACAAAGCGCTCATGGGGCAGATTGCTACGTAGAAGAAGCGTATACGAACCGTACATGGAACTCACATGCAACATATCTGAAGCGCCTGTGAGCCGCATACGAACCGTACATGACAATTGTACGCAGAGATTTGTTGCACTAAAAACACAGATTTGAAACGCAAGGGATGCGTATTTTCGCAACACAAGCCAAGCGTATATTAAACACGCCAGAAACGCATCTGACACCTAGATGACACCTTTAGGAAACGTACCCGGAAGGTATACGAAGGAAAACGCACCGTATACGAAACGTACATGGAACGTATATGTAATAGATTTGCAATGTTTTTGAGACTGGGATCGGTGTTGGAACACAACAATAAAGTAGTACAGAATCCTGCGGGAGGCTGGGGCCGGCGCATTTCTTATTGAATTCATGCAGTTGAGCTGCACTCTATACAGCAATTGTGTTGCAGGCGGGGGTCCGCGCGCCGCATAGTGAATTCCGAATCAGAGAAGCAAAGAACATGACATAATCCTGCTGGCGGCTGTGACCAGCGAGCTGCGCAATGGATTTTCCATTGGGCAACACATAAAACAGGTGCGAATCCTGCGGGGGGCTGGGATCGGCGCATCTCTTATTGAAGTCCGAAGGGGAAATCAGTAAACTGTATAGCTGCAGGCTGGTATCGGTGCATGGCGCACATACTAGTTCTTCGCTTCCGTGTGAGAAATACAATAAAATAACATTTCTGCTGGAGGCTGGGATCGTCGCATTTCTGGTTGAATTCATGACTGAACGCAAGTAGACGATGCAACGATTTGTTAGGTTGGGGCCCACGCGGTTCATATTGAATCCGGACGGAACGCAACAAGTAACACAGTAACCAGTTATGTTGGAGGCTGGGGTCTGCGCCTGTCCTATTGAATGCGAACATTGAGGGCTTCGCGATGGGTCTAGGTCGGCGCAGTTCATATGGAGTCCGTTAGACAGAAATCCCGCAGGAATCCTTCAGGGGGGGCGACTGGAATCCTTCAAGAATCCCGCAGGCCTCCTCGTACATCTTCAGAAATCCTTCAGGGCACTTCTGCAATCCGTAGGAATCCCTCGGGAATCCTTCACGAATCCCGTCGGAACCTTCAGGAATCTTGTAGGAATCCATGAGGGATCTTATCCTTGCGGACTCTTTGGGGGATCTTCCAGAATATGCAATGATGCCCCCGGAATCCATAAGGCGTCTTCGAACAAAATTACAGGAGTTTCCGGAAAGCAGTTGGACTTGTTGGGGGAGTCCATTAAGACTTGTTGCGAGTTTCAGGAATCCTGGAGGAATCTTTTGGGAACCGTGCCAGGCATTCTCAGGAATCCCGCGCGAATCCGGAGGAACTCCTCCAGGAGTCAGGGATCCCCCAGGAATCCGCAAGGACCCTTCAAGAATCGATAAGGAATATCCGGGAATCGATCGAGGTACCTCAAGAATCGATCAGGAATATCAGGAATTCGCAAGGACCCTTCGAGAATCGATCAGGAATCGATCGAGGTACCTCCTCCGGCGGAAGGTGCCGGAAAGTAAGAGATGCGCCCTCAAAGGGATGGCAACGATTTTGGGGTCCAGGTTTCTGGAGTCAGCCATATCGGTTTGGCTCGTGGAATGCCGCAGACTCATAAGGTCCAGCGCTCCAGTGCTGATTTGTACGGCGTTGGATACGGAAGCCTTGGATAAGGAACCAATGGTCAGACAGCCGATGGAATTCCAATCGTGGGTTCGCCATGGGTTTTGCCACCGTTCTCCTTGGTCAAGGAGTCCTGCAGGGTCTGAAGCCCCTTTGGGACATTCCTTCACGAACGCCCCCACGGTGTTGCATTTTTGCACGACGTGGGATATCAGGCTACGGAGAAATATCAAGAACTTTGCCGAGTGTTATATGGATCCTCCCGAATGTAATGGCGTTGTCGGGTGCCCCCGAGCTCTTCCGAGAAGCTCTGCTTTGCTCTGGACTGCTCCGCCACGCGCGGCTTCTTCCCGCCTGCCCGCCCGATTCGCCCGTCAGGCCCCTCCCGCCGGAAGGCCCTTCCGCCCGACCTGTCGTTCAGGGTGCGCTGGCTTTCAGATCGTTCTCATGTCTCGTCTGCCTGGCCCGCCCGCTTGGGTCAGCCCGCCCGACCCGCCCATTGTGGTCCGCTTGCCCGACCCCTCTCTTCGGGCCCGCTGGCGAAGCGGTCCGCCAGTGAGGCTTTCTCCTCTGGCCAAGCGGTCTGACGGCGAAGCGCTTCTCTGGCGAGCCGGTCCGCGGATGAAGCGCTCTCGAGCCTTCGCGGCCCCCCCGCCCAATAGTCTGGTCAAAGTGGATCACCAGACCGGTCTGTGCGCCCCGCCCAGCCGTGGCGACGGGAACGTCCAGAGCCGCATCAAGGCGTCCACAACAGCGACGTCGACGTCTTCGTCGACGTGGGTTGTTCGCCACCAGCAGATTTGCGCCCTCCTGAGACTGTGCAGACAAGGAGCGCGGCGCTCGTCGTGCGTCTGGGGAGCACTCCGTTCCATGTCATGCCCATCGGGCTCACAGCCGTCACTCAGAATATATGCGGGGCCAGTTGTCGTGTTTGGGGTGAGGAGGGAGAGTGCTTTTCACCGACTCCGCTCCGCAGCATTTTCAAACAGCGCTGGGCCAAAAAGGTGTGCATGCGTGAAGTCCAGATTGCCTTTCAAGCCTCGCCACGCCCCCCCCCCTCTCCCCCTCCATGCAGGTAGATTTGCCAGGGTCTACAGAAAAAAACAACATCAAAACCTCGCGTGACAACAGGTAACTCCAGGGCGAAGGCCGGAAGCGAGGTGGGACAGCAGCCCGCCAGCCGAGAGACGCGCCGAGGCGCCCCGGAAGTCGACGCCCAAAGGCTCTGACTGGGGCGGAAGCGCGATAGCAAGTAGAGGGCCAAGGGCGCCTCATCCCGGCAAGCGAGGGGCAAGGGTATCAATCGCCCCAGAGCGTGCCAGAACGCTTTCTCCGAGCGTTCCTGAGCGCTCTGCAGCAGACTGCCGCGGCATATATCCTCCAGGCCCGCCGGCTTTCTGCAGAGATTCCCGATGTACCCTTGTCCAGACTCGTCCCCGTCCCCCAGTTCCCAGGCCTCCAAAATAGCGAAACGCACGACGGGCGGTTTGTCTACACTTTCGGCCTCCAGGGGCCCTCGTCGGGCCCCGGGACCGTCTAACACACGACTTGGGATGGAATCCTGGTCCCGCAGAAAGGGGTCTATTCGAGAGGCTTGCGCCGTTCCGCCGGCCCCCATAGCAGTGATTTCGCCACGAGCCGTGCCACCGGGCCTGGCCTGTGGGCCAGGGGCCTCGGGGATGCACATGTGAGGGTCTCCCGTATGCCTCGTGGCGGCCTCTTGGCGGGCTCTTGGGGGCAGTTGATTGGCTCTGAAGGGGTCTCGGGGGTGCACCTTCGTAAGAAATTCATGACGTCGTGGAGGGGGTCAGCTTCCGCTGGGGCGGTCGCCTCGGGTGGGGTGGGGGGGCAGGCTTCCCTGGAGCCTCCCTGGGAGCCTCTCGGGGTCTCCTTGGTCGGGTGTTGCTAGAGGTGCCCCTGGCCCAAGGTGCCCCCAGGATTTCCAAGGGTGCCCCCACGGCCTCCAGAGCACCCCTCATGACCCCTCGAGGGCCCCAGGGCCCAGGGCTCCGAGATTGAGCGACACGTTGGGGGCACCTTGGGCCAGGGGCACCTTCAGTGACACCCGACCTGGGGGCCTCGGGGGAAGGGCTTCATGGGGCGCTCTCGGCCCACCTCGCGCCCTCGCAGGCCGCCTCCGAGGCCTTCCTGGGTCGCCTCGGGGCCCTCCCCGGCGCGCTGCAGCGCTGTCCATCCACGAGAGCCGTTGCCGCCGCCTTCCCAGACATACGATGCTCCATCTTATGCGCCGCGCGGACCCCAGAGGTCCAGCCCCCCTCCCCGGGACTTGCTTTTCATCCTGGGTCGTTCTGTTGACCGGTGCTGGGGCCTGGCGAGGGCCCCCAAAGGCCGGAAATGGCCCCAAGCCATCCGCCGTTTTTTGTTGCGCGCTCTCTCGTTTTTTTTGATTGTTTTGTTCTCTCTCTCTCTCTCTTTCTCTTTCTCTTTCTCTGTACAGCGAGAGGAGGCCTGGGTTCGTCTTAAGAAGAAACGCGCGGCGCCCTCCCAGGTCTGCTCGGCCTTGGACTGCCCGCCGACGCGGGCGTCGGCAACGGCCGTCTCCACCGCCGCGGCCGTCGCGCCGACGCCGCTGCCGCGGCCGTCGGACGCGTCGGAGCAGGCGGCGCCAGAGGCTTTCGGCGGCGGCCGTCGTCATCGCCGTCGTTAGCGGCCTCTCAGCGGCGCACACAGGGGGGTGGTGCGAGGGGGGTTGCTTTCTAAGAAGGCAGGGGGAAGGCTTCTTGGGAAGCATTCTCTTGGAAGCCTACATGTGCTTCTAATGAGGCCCCTGCCTTCCGGGCAGCGCCCCTGCCTTCTCAGAAGGCCACCTCCGCGCGCCACCCCTTTGTGCGTGCCGCCGAGCCTCGGCGTCGTCGGCGTTGGTGTTTGGGTCGTCCTCGTCCTCCCTTCAGATCTGGGCGTCGCGAATGAAACTCGTGACGACCAGACCTTCGTCGCTCTCGCTTTCTGCGGATGGCGCCTCTCGGCCGCCAGACCGTGAAGAAACGACTGCGGGATGGGCTTGCCCCATAGACATGGGCGAGCTCCCTGGCTGGGCCCCTGCGTCGCGCAAAAAGTGCAACGCCGGAGTGGAGGTTTCTTCTCCTCACTCCCGTCGCCCCCCTTGCCCGCTTCGTGATCCACCTCGTCCCCGTCGTCGTCGGCCTCCCGCTCCTCTTCGGCGACTTGGTGGCTGCTGGCGGCGTTGCCTGTGGTCCCCCAAGAATATATGTATATATATATATATATACATACATACATATATATATATATATATATATATATATCCTCCTTGTCCTCTTCCCTCTCCTCCCCCCTCCTCGGCGCCCAATAAACAGGATGGGGAGGAGGATCGGTTAGCTGGGCAGCCCCGGGAACACCAGAGAAAAGGCGCGCGCGCCAGCAAGAGACTCTGAGCTCAGATCCCCGACGTCGTGACTCTTTCATGACGTGGACCTCCATCGTCTGGACCCACTTGCTGGGACGAGTTTTTATCATCCCGAGTCGTTTTCGACGGTCCCGAGGGCCGGTAAGGGCCCGCGGAGGTCGGAAATCGATAGACACTCATCCCGTCGTGATGTTTTTCATTGCCCGAGAGTGGACTCGCCCCACCAGCAGCCCTGGCACCGGGCCGGCTGCCGTCCTCCCCGCGGCCCGCCGCCGCCGCGACAGCGCGTCGCCGGCTGCTTGCGCCGCCCCGCAGCGGCACGAGATCATGCCGGCGCTTTCCGAGGTCCCTTGGATCCCCGCGGGGGTTGCTAAGGTCCGAGGAGGCCCATTTGAGACACCGACAGTTGGCCTTCGGGGGGTCCTCTCGCCGCCACGGCCGGACGCAGCGCGAAAAACGAGTGCGTTTGGACCCCGGGAGGGGTCCGGGGACCGATTTTGAGCCGATTTCGAGCTCCCAGTGTCTCAAACGGGCCTTCTCCGATAAGAGGATCTGAGGGTTCAAAAGTGGGTGCTCATTTGAGTTATGTCTCGCCTAACCGAGCTGACGAGCGGGTTGCAGATGCCCTAACTCAGTGGCTTACGGGCAGACCCGCGCCCAGCGAGGCTCGCCCCTGGGCGTGCGAGCAGGCGAGAGCGTGGCCTGCGCGCGCCGCTAGGCGACGCGCATTTGTCAGGGGCCCAGCGCTGCCGACGGCCCAGCGAAGGGGTCTACACCTGTGGGGCTCCGCGCTGCGTCAAGTCAGCAAGACACCGGAGATCTGGGTCCGAGCACGCCGCCGCGGCAGAGGTGCCGCTAGGCGGCGCCGGCCCGTCGCGCGAGCGCCGCTTGGAATAGCCTCAAGGTATACACCACGCAGTCAGGTCGGTCAGGACGCCGAGGAGCTCGGCGCAGAAACGCGGTGCACAGATGCTCCAGCGCCCCACGGGCTGGGCAGCTGGGGCGTCTATGCACCAAGCTCGTTGGCCGACACAACTTAACTACGTGAATTCAGCAGGGGCGCTGGTAGAGCCGTGGTCGAACATCGGCCCAACCCCGTATAATCATATCAGCCAGCGTTGACTCCAAATAGGCAAGCAAGCAAGCAAGCAAGCAAGAAAGCAAGCAAGCAAGCGCGCCAGCAAGCGCGCAAGCAAGCAAGCAAGCATACATAAGAGGGGGTGCCATTGGAAAAAGGGGGGATAGGCGTAGGCATAGGGATTGCCATAAGAATTGGGGGGAGCATCGGAATTAGGGGGGGCAACGGACCAATGAGCAGGGTTTGAGCTGGGATTCCGATCGGGCAAGCCTATTTGGAGAATCTTTAATTCTTTCGGATCCCGCTTTATCCGGCGCAGTCGGGCTTCGTACTGGACGCAGTCTGGGCTGCTCCGGCTCAGCGGCTCCTGAGTAGGGCTCAGCCGCCCTTCCAGTCGTTGCCACGGAGACCTCCCAGGACTTGCCCTCCAACCTCTCCCCAGGGTCGGCTCTCCGTGCCGAGTCGTATTTTTTGACGGCCCGTGAGCCCCGAGGACGGCCCCTGAAGCCCCCAGTCGGGGAAAAGCCTCTGCCTCGATGGTTTGCCAAGACGGTGAACGTCTGGCGCCGCGGGGCGAACAGGCCGCAGACCAGACGACTCGTCGCAGCAAGCCCCGCGCGGCAGACGAGGCCAGCGGAGTGACTTGGCCTGCCCCCCGCGCGGGGTGCTCTGCGGCGCGCTCGGTCGGCGCATCCAGATCGGCATGGCGCGCTCCAGAGTTCAGGGGCAACGTCCGCGTGGGGATGGGCTCCGAGAGGAGCGCGTCGACCCCGCACCGCCCATCCATCGCCGACGGGGGCCCCATCGCCCGCCCCCGCCCAGGAGCGTCGGGCCTCGCCATCGGGCGGCCCGTCGACGCATCGCCGGTTCCAGCTCGACGCGCACACCCCCCGAGCCCAGTCCTCCTCCCGGCGCCCGCCCCTCCTCGGTGGCCGCGGGCGGGCGCCAGGGCGCCAGGGCGGAGCCCACGGGGTGCCGCGCAGCGCCGGCACCCCGTCGACGAGCAGGCTCGGCGAGCGGGCGTGTAGCGCGAGCTGCGCGCCCAGCACCCCGTCGCGCCGCCACCCCCTAAGCCGGGTCCGTCTTGCGCAGGAGGGCGGCCGCGGGGCGGGCACGCGCCGCCGAAAGGCCTGGGGCAGAAGCGGCGACGGAGGAGAAGAGGACGCGGAGGAAGGCGCGTGCACCAGGTGCTGGAGGCGGAGGAGGAGGAGGAGGAGGAGGAGGAGGAGGAGGAGGAGGACCAGTGTAAACCCAAGACGCATCAAAAGATGTTGCAGTACACCCCATCTAAGCTTCCCCCGTCATAGGTGCCAACCAGAATTCATGTTCAACGCTGCCGGTGGTCCATGAGAAGACAAGCGTCAGAGACTCTCCCGTCGTGCCAGAACGACATACCTCGGTAACGCCGCGGATCTCCCCGCATGTCGCGTCCTTGTCAATTGTGCCAGACAGCCATTCCTGGGACTTCACTTCAACACCGCGAATGAACGTGAAAGTCGCATCCTGACAGGCCGAAATCGCGCCAGGACGTTATTCCAGGGAACTCCACCATGCGAATTTTTGAAACGGTCGCAAATTCTGAAGTCGCATGTTCGCGGCGCTAAAGCGAGAGCCACATGTTGGAAATGAGCCGCCCTCAATGTTTGAAGCTGCTGTAAACTTCTAAAACGAATGCGCGCGGCGCTGAGGCGAGAACGGCATTTTGAAAAGGAGCTGCCCTCCGTCCCTGCAGCCGTTGCAACCTGAAGATAACGAATATGCGCGGCGCTACGGCGAGAGTCACGGTTCGAAGACGACCCGCCCTCCGTCCGTGAGGCCGATGCAGGTAGCAAGCTCTCGGATCCTGAATGGCGAGGGAGGTTCAGGGACACCCAGCTCTCCCTACCAGCAAGTTTGGGGGTGCGACCGGAGGAGGAGGAGGAATGAGGATGGAGGAGGAGGAGGAGGAGAAGGATAGGCAGATGGATGAGGAAGGAGGAGGAGGCATCAGAAGGATAGCGAATGAAGGAGTTGGAGGAGGAGAAGGAGGAGGAGGGATGAGGTACGGCGCTACAGGTAAGGTCCTGCGTCATCGGCAGCCGCTACGACATCCCCTGGGTGGCTCGCCGCCCTTCCCCTCTTCTCGAGGCGGAGGAGGAGGAGGCGGATGAGGATGAGGAAAGGAGGACGACGAAAGAAGGACGTTCGAGGAGGAGCGGGAGGACGGCGGCGGACCGCGGCGGCGGGCGGCGGGCGGCGGGCGGGCGGCGGGCGGCGGCGGGCGGCGGCGGGCGGCGGCCGCGGCAGGCCGCGGCGGGCGCGCCCGACGGGGCCCCGCTGGAGCGGCCACCGGGCCGCTTCACGGCGCGCCGCCGCCCGCGGGACGGCTGGGAGGACGCCCCGTCAGGAACGCTCGGGCGTGGGCGCCGTGTAACCGACGCCGCCGCCGCCGCCGCCGCCGTGGTCGTCGTCGTCGTCGTCGTCGTCGTCGCCGTCGTCGTCGTCGTCGTCGTCGTCGTCGGCGGCGTCGTCGTCGGCGTTGTCGTCGCCATCGTCGTTGTCATCCGTCGTTCGTCATGGTGGTGGTTGTCGCCGTCGTTCTTCGTCAATCGTCGTCGTCGTCGTTCGTCGTCGTTCGTCGTCGTCATCGTCCGTCGTCGTCGTCGTCGTCCTCGTCGTCGTCGTCGCCGTCCTCGTCGTCGTCATCGTCGTCGTCGTCGTCGGTGCCGTCGTCGTCGTCGGTGCCGTCGTCGTTGTCGTTCGCCGTTCGTTGTTCGTCGTGTTCGTCGTCTTCTTCCTCGTCGTCAATGTGGTCGTGGCCGTTGTTTGTCATGGTCGTCGTCATCGCGTTGTCCTTGTTGTGGTGGTCTTCGGCGTTCGTCGTCGTTGTCGTTGTCGTTGTCGTGGTCGTGGTCGTGGTCGTCGTCGTCGTCGTTCGTCGTTGTCGTTGTTCGTCGTTCGTTGTCGTCGTCTTTCGTGATTTTTTGTTGTCGTCGTCGTCGTCGTTCGTGTTTCCTCCTCCTCCTCCACCTCCTTCTCCTCCCCCAAGTTTATCTTCCTCCTCCCACCCCAATACTAACCGGGCCCTGCGCCGCTAGAAGAAAAACCTCTTTCTCATCCTCCTCTTCCTCCCCCTCCCCGTCCGTCATCATCACCATCACTTCGATGAGCAAGATGCCCACTTTTCTCTCACAACCCATCAGGTGTTTCAAGAGTGGCAGATTGCTCCGTCGGCCATCGAACTACTCGTGCGCAGACTAAAGTGGTGGCAGAGCATTTTGCAGAACCCGAGCCAACACGGCCAGTTCCTTGCTACCTTTTTTGGACGGTGTTGCTTCGAGCAGCAGGCGGCCATAAGTCACCGCCCAGTCAGTGCTTCCACTCTCAACGAGCAGGGTGGGTTCTCCGCTGCTCCCAGTGTTTACCCGTGGGCCAAGCAGCTCGCGGATGACCTGTTGTGCCTGGCGTCACACCCCGCCGGCGAGAGTTTCAAGGAGGTGTGGCAGCCGCCCGTTGTCAACAACTTGTGGGAATATGAGTCTGTTCGGAACACCTTCCAGCATTGCGACGTTCGTACATTCAGACCCTCCTACTGGACCTCACAATTGGCACCACCAGGGACCAGTATGTTGGCCTCCTCCCTCCCATCGACGACCTCATACGACGAGACGGACAGCGACGACGAAATCAATCGCCCGTTCGTGTGTCAAATTCCCTCTTGTGGTCTACGGTTTGGGGCTCTCAAACAGTTGGTTACACATCAGTCGAAATCTCGGGGGGGGCGGACACGATATGCCATCACTACTCACAACATTACAGGTCGACAGCACATGTATCGTATGTCAGACTACTTTCCCAAATCAAGATCATGCTACACGACATTTACGACGCTCACGGGTTGCTGGTAGGTGTATAGCGGAGCTCACACATCATGTATATCCATGGCACCATGCTACATATTCATTACACTGCCCCCTCCGTGAACATGAATTCGATCCCGCCTGCCAACGCGAATTTCAGGATTACTCTAAGTATCGAGCCCATCTTCTCTCGCATCTTCCGCCGTCGCCATCGGGGCCGATGCTCACGCCGACTATCAGGACCGAGGCCCGCCCGACGAAGTCGGGCCCATCACAGCTTCGAGCAGCCGCCTCGCTCAGACCTGCGCCTCGGCCACCTCGCGTGATCGAGGACGCCTCAGCAGCGAGAGCAGCCCTCCGCCGAGCAGCGGACCTCATTCTGGGCACGCGGGAAGCGGTTCGACATCGGCCACGCGTCGCTCGACCACAACGTTGGACAGCAGCGCCCCCGACAACGTCCCCAATAGCGGCTCCATCCTCCACCGCAGCGTGGACGCCCACACTGCCAGTACTATGACGTGAGCGCGATGACGGCAGCAGCGGCGCTACCAGGAGAGGACTCCGCCGCCAAGGCCGCGCAGCCAGCAGCCGAGCCGAAGCGCGCGAGCTGGCGCCTCCCCCTGGGCTCCTCCAGGGGCTCCACGGCATCTGGCGCCGCCCCCTGGAGCGACGAGGCCCCCCCCCCCCGCGGCCAAGCCCCGCCTCCAGGAGCCGCCGATGAGGCCAGGTCAGTCACCGAGAGCGCCAGTCGACGCGGCGATCGAGGTCGACGAGGACGAGCAGGCAGCCAAGGGCGACATGCGCAGGAAGCGCAGGGGCGGCCGCAGGGCGAGGAGGGGGGCCCACAGCGACAAGGTCTGGAGCAGCAAGGACAATAACCTGATGGCCTTGCTACGCACCGCGCTCCAGCTGCTGCCCCAGACCACGCACCGGGCGCGCCTCAACGGCAGCGTCGACATCGACGCGTACACGATGACGACGAAGCGCCCACTCGTGGACGGGATCTCTGCCGTGCTGGAGGGCTAAGTTACAGGGGCATGCTCGACAAGCTCCGCAGCGGAGACGCGGATGACAAGCAGAAGCTCAAGGCGATCGGGCACCCAGCTCCAGCATTGGGGCTCGTCGCGCTGGAGAGCCTCCTGAAGTGCGACGTGGGCGGGGCACCCGAGCAGGATATCAGCCTCCACCTGGAGCAGGCTCAGCCGCCCGACGAGATGGCCGAAGTCGAAGCCACGAAGTACGAACTGCAGCAGCATATCAGCTTCATACCGCTCGAGCGATGCTTCGGCGTGGACAAGCCCGAGTTGATCGTGGGGGCCCCAGAATGCCCAGGCCGCAAGCTAATCATGAAGGCGTTGGCCGCCGAGTGCGCGGCGCAGCACCACCGCGGCGTGGCGCCGGCGGGGGGGCTCGAGGAAGAGGCGGCGCACTGGCTGGAGACACTCGAGCAATCGTTTTTGTTAGGGGGCCCCCGCTCCCTGCCGGCCGCCGCGGTGTACAGGTACAACACCAGCGTCCGCCTTCAGAGGACTCAGAGCAGGAGCATGCCACAGGGGACGCGCCACCAGTCTCAGAAGACTCAGAGCAGGAGCGTGCCGACGGGCGCGCGCCGCCAGTCCCAGCACCTCCTCCTGTCTTCGCTTCCAGGCCAGGCCTCCCAGCAGCTGCCGACTCGGGGTCGGCAGGGCGTGCGCAGCCAGTCTCAGAATACTCAGAGCTGGAGCATGCCGCACGGCGGGCGCCGCCAGTCCTGGAAGACTCAGAGCTTGAGCATGCCGAAAGGCGTGCGCCGCTGGTCTCAGCTTTTTCTATCTTCTTGTCTGGGCCAGCAGACTCGGGGTCGGCAGGGCTGGCACAGCCAGACTCTGCCGACTCGGGGTCACCCCATCTCGAAGGGCCCGACGGCCGACGCGATCAGCTCGATACAGCAGCAGAAGACGATGCCGCACCTTTTTTGTTTGACGAATCACTGCCTCCTCGAAGCGTCTCGTGGCAGCGCGACGCAGCCCCCTGTGTCAGCACTTGCGAGACGTGGCCCCCAGAGCGGGGACTAACGAGAGAGTCGGCACTCCGCGGCGGATCTTATTTTTTCTTTAACGCTGTGCAAGCTCGTTTGGTCCTGATGCCGAAGAACAAATCATTACCATCAGCATCGCCGCCACCATCATCATCATCATCATCAGCAGCATCATGATCATCATCATGATGCTGATGACCGTCATCACCACCAGCACCATCACAATCACCATCGCCATCATCTTCACCACCACCACCATCACCACCACCATAACCAACATCATGATCATCACCACCATCACCATCAACATCATTATCATCATCGTAAGGGTCATCACCACCATCATCATCATCATCACCATCACCAGCACCAACATCATCATTACCATCGCCCGATCACAGAGCTCTGGGCGCGGGGCCTCCCACCCTCCCCCGCCCCCCTCCTGCCTCATCCTGGCAGGTTTTGCTTGTGATATGACGAAGAGGGTGCACAAATCCCTCTTCGCCCCCTCCTCATCGCCCTCCTTCCCTCCTCCCCTCCCCCCTCCTCCCCCCTCTGTTCCCACTTTCCCTCCCTTCCTCTCCTCCTTCCACTTCTCCCTTCCTCTTTCCCCCCTCCTCCCTCCCTCCCTCCCTCCCTCCCTCCCTCCTTCTTCTCCTCGGAGAGGCTTAGCCAATCCGCCGGGCCGCCTGCTGGGGGCCGTAGCCGCTGGCGGCGGCGACCCCCTCTGCTTCGGCGGGGCGAGGGAAGACCCGGCGCCGCCCCGCCCCTCCCACCCCGCCGCCCAGGTCGCCATGGAGGAAGCGGGTTCTGAGGGAAGCTGGCCCTGAGGTTTTTTCACCGTTTTCGGGCCCGCGAGGCCTTCCATGGGTTCCAAGACTGTCAGAGAAAGGCTCAGGATGAAGAAGTCGTCCTGGGGGAAGGCGCCAGGGTTCAGGACCCGTGAGTTGTCGGAGGAGGAGAACGGAACGGTTACCTTTCCGTCGTTTTGTCCTTGTTTTGGCCTCCAGTGAGGCCATCGTCACCACTGCTGGATTCGCTTTGGAATTCTGGGCAGAACCCATCAGGTGAGAGGTCCAGGGAGTAGCGGTATTGGTACCTCTGGGTTTCCCACAGTCGGGGAAGGGGGGGATCAGAGTAAACTCAAGGAGCATCAACGATGCTGCAGTACACCTTGCGTCCAAGTTCCCTCTTCACAGGCTATTGCAATGTATTTGCAATGTATTTTCATTGCGGGAGGTGTTCCTTCGGATGACAACCTTCTACGAGTCCACGATCGTACCATCGTGCCATCACGCATCGGATGTCAACGCCGCGAGTCACGGTGGCCGTTGCGTCCTGACAATTCTAGAGAGCACCAGCAGACCATTCGTGGGACTTCAACCAGATGTATGAATTCTTGAGATAGCAGCGGGCTTTGAAGACGAATGTTCGTGGAGCTCAGGCGGGAACCGCGTCGTGAAAGCCAGTCGCCCTCTACCTTTGAAGTTGTCACGAACTCGTGTGGCGAATGTGCGCGGCGATGCGGCGAGAGCCACATTCTGCTTCGAGAACGGCCTGCCCTCATTCGGTCACGATGCTGCAACCTTTCCTAGCGAATGAATGCTCGCGGCGCTGCCGCGAGAGCCACGGTTTGAGAACCGCCCTCCCTCCACCCTTGAGGCTGCTGCAGACTTCGATGACGAATGCGCGCGGAGCGACGACCCGCCCTCCATCTTTTGAGCTGCTGCGGATTGTAAGCTTCAGCGTCATACCCGGTGAAGAAGTCTCGGGTGAAACGCCCGACCCGCCCTCCCGACACGTCCGTGGGTGCGACAGGGGGGAGCTGCTTGTGAGGAAGCGGAGGAGCAACACCAGGAGGAGGAGGCAGGGGAGGAGCGCCGCTGCACAGCGACACTGGAGGGTTGGTGGCCGACGACTCAGCCCGGCGAGTCGGGACCATGCGTGCTTGCCAGGATGCCGGCGGTGGGCACTGGCAGAGGCGCCGGCTAGTTTTCTAGGCTTCCCCTGTCCTCTACTGTGTTCGGAAGGGTGACAAGCATATTAGTGTTCGGATGTTCAAAAATTGGTCGTCAATGGTTCGGGACCAGCTGTTCGCGAACTACAAACCCCCAAGGGCCTTGTCCACGGCCGTTCGGTTGAGTTGAAATAGATATGTTCGAAACGAATGGTTTGTACACGGTTCGGGACACATGTTCGCAAGGATGTTCGGGTCAGCCTTGGCTGATTGTCGCCTTGCAGATGCAAAGCGGCGCGTGGACTTTTCATCCCCAGGGGGTGGATCTAGGTTCTCGAAAGAGCAGTACGAGAGAGCAGTAGTGATGATGAGCAAGGCCTTGAGCAGAATTCCGCAATGATTCTTGTCTCAGCGTCTCAGTTTTGCTGCGAACACTGGGTCATACTTCGGCCCGAATTCGTAGTAGATCCTGTCGGCCAGGAAGGGTTTGCTGGCAATGCGTTCCTTTGAGTGGCAGTAGGCTTTTTGCCGCAGCCATCCCACAATATAGACAAATCCACAAGTCCAAACTGTTGTGATAGGCAATGGAATGATTCGAATGCACCTACCCTTCGAGCAGATGGATGCGTGCACCATCGGGCGGTCTAATAGTATTTATGGCTGGGCACGTCAGTACAACACAACCCGCGTGGTTAAGCCATTCGGTGACTTGGTCGGCTGAAGCTGAATACTGGCACCACGCACATATACGCCCACACTCAAGTCACGTTTGCTGCGGTGAAAGTGGCAACATCACATATGGACGTGGCAGGGGGGGACCGTCCAGCTGCAGCAGGGTGAGGCAGGGGAGCTAAAGAAGGACACGTGGCTATGGTCTCGTGCCGCTGGGCTCGCTTCAAGCAGTGCTCCGATAGCATTGCGTCCAAAGTGGCATGCAACAGCATCTGGCGCACCAGAAGAGAGCGCCATCAGATTCCGTCACCTTGGCCCGCTCGGCACTGGACATGCAATTTTCTGTCGCACCCTGCCCGGCCAAATTGTCGACTACGTCATTTTCAAGTCGAGTCCATTTGAAATGCCACGATCAGCTGCTTGGCTGACGGTGAGGTGGAGACTGGTCACGACAATTCTGGCCGACCCGTCCCCACAGAAACACGTGCGGATCAGACGGCGACTGAGTTTTATCAGCATGCCAGCCGTGAAGGACCGTCTCGGCGTCAGTGACATAGATAGTGGGGCCAACAGATTTTTCGACGCTTCGATCCCCCCAACTGCATCTTGGCACTCCCCAGCCTGAGCGCGTCTGAGTCAGAGATTCTTAACCCATGGCGATTGACTCGATCGCCAGTGGGAGCGCTCAGTGAGCGCTCCCGGAGCCCTGAAAAGGAGAGCAGTCAGGGAGGCCAAAGCCAGCGTTCCGCTCGAGACGCCCCCACGACCTGCCCGCAGACGGGCCAGTGCAGTACACCGTTGGCGGCTCCTCCGCCCCCCCCCCCCCCAGATTTTCTTCGGGATGCCCAAGAGCTCTGCGCAGGCGGAGGAGGAGGAGGAGGAGGAGGAGGAGGAGGAGGAGGAGGAGGAGTTATGACCTCCGTGGACCCTGCGCTGAAGCTCAAGACATGGGATGTCCGGGCCCCCCCCTTCCTCCCCCACCCGCCGCGGGTTGCCAGAAGTGGCTCTGGCCCTGGGCGTGCTTCCCCGGCTGGTCGTGCCAGTGATGCGCCCCTGGGGGCCCGCTGGGTCTCGTGAGCGGTGCCACGGGGGCCCTCGGGGCCTGCCCTGAGATCCGACGACGCGGGAAAGCATGCCACCCCCGCGGGCAATTGCGATTGGAGCCTTTTGGGCCCAATCTTGCTGCGGCACTTCGGGTCAGGTCGATCTGTGGTGGTCCCAGGCCCGAGACCTGGCGAAAACGGCCGGTGTGGAAAAATTGCAACGCCCAGGCCTCAGGGGCCAGTACGGTTTTTTGCGGCGCCTGGGTCTGCGCACCGCTGGCCCCGCTCCCTCGAGGCGCTGAACTTCGAGAGCCTCATCGCCTTCCAGCACCTGGCGGCCTTGGAGGAGGCGGTGAGCAGCGGTGCTCCCCGGGATCCCGCAACCGGCGGAAACGGCCAGCCTCGTCGTCGTCATCGTCGCCGTCGGCGCCGTCGCCGCCGCGTGGGCGGCGGCGGCAGCGTCCCTGAGATCCGGCGTCGCGAAAGAGATGCAACATCAAGGGACACCACGACCGGGGAGCCCCAGCTCCCATCTGAGGGTCCCGTGGCCGGCAGCCGGGCTGAAACTGCCCCGTGCCACAGTAATCAAGCAGTGGCGAAGCGTCCTGGCTCGCCTATAGCCCTACCAAACAATGGTTCCCACGAAATGTTCTTAGAACAATTTTGGCAGGGACTGTCTCGTTTTAACACATCGGGTCTATGTTCTAAGAACATTGTCTTTGTTCTTAGAACATTTTCGGGTTCTAAGAAAATGTCGTGGTATGACTATAGGAAGGCCGGGACGGTCGGCCCCTGCTCAAAGTAGCTGCGACGCCCGCGTCTCCGGGGCCGTCGTGGTCGCCTCCGTCGCCGCGCCTGCGCGGCCGCAGGCGCCGCGCTCGACGGGCGCCTGCCGCTGCTGCCGCAGCGCCCCGCCCCTGGCCCGCGCGGCGGCCGCGGCAGAGCGCTGGCGCCGGCGGAGTCGCCGCTGAGCGCTCGCGGCGCCCCGGCGGCCGCCGCCGCCGCCGTCCGCGTCGTCGTCGCGGGGGTTGTCGGCGCCGCCGCCCTCGGCGTCGCGGTCGGCGTCGGCGTCGGCGTCGTGTGTCGGCGTGGTCGTCGGCGGCGTCGGCGTGCCCGCCGTCTCTCGGAGGCGGAGGGCGCAGAAGGGGGGACATGAGAGGGAGTGGAGGGGAAGGCGGAGGAGGAGGAAGAGGAGGAGGAGGAGGAGGAGGAGATGGAGGAGGAGGAGGAGGAGGAGGAGGAGGAGGAGGAGAAGAAGGAGGAGGAGGAGTGCCTCCTCTTCTCAGGGGCTACGGTAGGGGGGGTATGCTCAGGGGGGGATGCACCAGTCCCCAAGCGCCCAATCATCACCAATAGGGACCCGAAAGCCCACCCCGCCCACGAACGTATGTTTTCGGCGACGTATCGCAGATGCTGGGTCGATGTTCGCCCCCTCCCTGAGCCAGTCTCCCCCGAATGCTCCCACTCAGAGCATACCACAGCGGGCCCGCTCGCCTCGCTATGTCAGCCAGTGGCGCGGGCGAAGAGCGGCGCATATCACAAGCTCGTCGCCGTCGTGGACGTCCTGTCCGGGGCGGGTGGAGAGGTGATGACCCCACTTGCAGTCGACACCTCGTTAAGGATTGGCCAGTTTCGCAAGGGCACCCTGGTCATCATTGGTAAGTGTTCGCCTTCCCAGCCCAATGGTGCCCTTCCCGATGCGTCCTGGCGCGCGGGGGGCAAGGGTTGCTACCTGGCTAGGGTCCCTTGCTTCCTTGGATACTTCGAGGGTCGGCGTCTTTTTTGTTGTATGTCGGCGCCCTCCCAGGGTCCGACATCCTTCAAATCCACCCTTGTCGTTGATTGGGGTTGCAACCCTGCTGACGCAAGAGAGCCCAGCCCCTTCGGCGAGCCTGCGGTCATCGAGCTCCACCCCCTGGGCGTCAGGAGGGCCTGGCTCCTGGAGCTCCTGGCTCCGGAGGCCGTCGCTCTCAGAGTCATGGTCGCCGACGGGACCTCGCGCCTCGGGGCAAGAGGGCCCCCCGGGGGCCGTCGCGAGCCGCTGGCGCCGAAACTTGTGCCCGGCAGGCGCGGGCAGAGTCCAGGTCCGCCGGGTGCAGGCCGGGCACGCGAACGCGAGCCTGCCGCAGCACATAGGGGGGGTCGAAGCGGGAGAGGTCGGACACCGACGACGCCGACGCATGTGCTGGGCCTCTGGCGCCTGCGTCTGCGCACCGTGGTGCCAGCTGGAGACTGGGAGAACGCTGTGCATGTCCATGCTCCCTGCGTCGGGCCCGGGTTCCCCGCGCTGGCAGCCGCCAGCCAGGCAGGGCCAGGATTCTGGGCCTCCCTGATGGCCTCAGAGTAAATGTGGTCGGAGGATCGCGCCGCACCGCCGATGCCTTTGGGGATGAGGCTCGATGTGGAGCCCGACTTTTTTCTACCCCGAGGGCGCCGACGCGTCGCCGACGTAGCCGATGCATCGCCGGTGCGTCGGCGATGTGTTGGCGATGCGGTGCGATCCTCCGATCCCATATGCCGGGACCCCATCTGGGAGGCCGTTGATCGGGGCTGTGAGTATGCCGACTAGACCACGATATGCTTGTCCGCCACTGAACTGCATCTGGCGGCTAAGACACTCTGCGCATTTGTTTTTCATTATCGATCGCCTGAAGAGCCAACCATAACATCATACTCCATACGTTGTCTGGTGGCGCTTCTGCGAAGTCCACGGTGCAGGGCCCAGATGCCGTAGTGGATATACGTGCGGTCCCCATCTAAGGATGAGGATCGATCTCTCCAGAGCGTTCCGGAACGTTCTCAGGGCGCTCTGGGGATTGCTGTCCGTATAGCGGCCCGCGGCGCCCGAAGGGTCATCGGGCTTTCTGAAGGAGTGCATCGGCAAAGGCATCATTCGGGCCTGTTGGCTCTCAGATAGATTCGACTCGTCCCGGTCTGGACTTGTGCTCATCCTGTCTTCGTCTTGGGGAGGGGAGGAGGAGGGGGAGAAAGGGGGCTGGGACTGGGACTGGGAATGGGATACTCAACCTTGAATGCTCTCAGTGCCTTCAGTACACGAAGACGAAGAACTTGGGAATGAAAGTGTACGCCGTCTGTTGGGGATGAGCACCACAACGCTGCAGCGTTCAATTCGCACGCGCTGCCTTTCACTTCACACATGCCGCCAATAACACGCACCCAGTTACAGTAGTCCGAAGTAGTCTAAACCACGATATATTGGCAGTCGCCCATGAAAACGATGTAATGCATAGACAGCACCACAGTGCGTTGGCAATGGTGAAAGCGAGCCCGTGCATTGACACTGTGGCTGAAACGAGTGCCCTCGAACCAACTGCTGGCGCAGACCAGCATGTGGACGCAAGCGAATCCGCCCCAAATGTGCCCAAGCATCCTGCTGAATTGAGACGATCCCGAACCAGTCATTAGGACGAAGACACGGCCCCGACCCACGAACGCGCCGTGGGCGTACGCCCAGGCTGCAAGGACCAGGGCTCGGATGGGCACGGAGCCTCCGGGCCTCCTCGGCCCGCACCCTGGGGACGGACCGTGGCCGGGACGATGCGGAGGAGGGAGTCCAAGCCATGCCACGAGCTGGGAAGGCAGGATCGTGCACCGCCCACCCACGACAGAGCACCTACCTCAACGTTACACAAGCCGTGGTTGTGGCGCCCGTTGGAGATGCGTGCGCCATTGAAGTAGGCAGTAACTACGTGCCGCAAGAACCTCGAGGTACCAACCAGCACGAGCTGTGAAGTCCGAACATCGGCAATATCTAGTGGCCTTCGTCCCATCCCGCCACCGTGCCTGGGTTGTGGGTCCGAGTTCTCAGGGATGCTTTTTCGGATGTCTTCGGGGCGCTCTCGGGAGCCTCGTAGAAGCAGTTTGAGGACCTCTTTGGGGTCTCTCGGGGGCCTCGTGGGAGCCTCTTGGGGCCTATTGGGGGCCTCTTGGGGGCTTCATGGGGCCTCCTAGGGGGCCTTTTGGGCCGAGGGCGCGAACTGTCCGTTCGGGTTCCCCACCTGGGCCCCCTCTTGGGGTCGTCCTTGGGCCCTCTTGGGCCGTCCTGGGCGCCTCTTGGGCCGCCTTGGGGCCCTCTTGGGCCGCCTTGGGGCCCTCTGGGGCTGTCTTGGGGCGATCTTGGGGGCCTCGCGGGCCGTCTTGGAGCGTCAGAAGGCCGAAAAGGCGAGAAGCCAAACACCTTCAAAAACCTTCGGGCAGTCAATGATTGTTCCCTCCTGGGGCCCTCTTAGGACGCCTCTTGAAACACTCCTGGGACGTCTTCGGGGCCTCTTGGGCCGTCCTGAGGCCATCTTGGGCGTATGGGGGCACTTTTGTGCTTTCTCGGAGGCATCATTGGCTCTTTTGGGTACCTTCAGGGCCATGTTTTGCCGGCTGCGCTGCCCCAGGACGCGCGCGCGCCACGCCCAGGGAATCCTCAGGAATCCGGGGGGAATCCCCAGGAACCTTTGTGAATCCCCGGGGATGCCAGGGGATGGAATCCTCGGAAATCCTTGTGAGTTCGCTGGCCTGGGCCCCCCAAACCTTTTAAAGCTTTACAGTTCTGAAATTCTCAGGGCTGCATGCGCCTTGGTGGCGGATATAATGCAATACCCACAAGCAGCAGTGAATTCAGCAAAACTGTAAGCTGGAAAGGTGCGCACGGGATACACCGCTGCAATGTGAGGAAAGCGCTCTCCAATGCAGGAGCATCACTGGCGCTCGATGCTCTTGCAACCGGCCTGCTCAACATGTGCCCATCTTTGCCACCATGAATAGAGAGAGAGAGAGAGAGGGACCCGAACAGTGCGTCGCCGCCGAGCTCCCGCCCTGGCCCCCCGAGCGCCGCGAGAAGGCGAAGGGCACGACTCGAGGCATCCCGAGGAAGTCAAGCTTACCTGAGCCAGAGTGGCTACGGAGGAGGAGGAGGAGGAGGAGGAGGAGGAGGAGGAGGAGGAGCGGGTGGGCGAGGTGGAGCGGGTAGGGGAGGCGGAGCGGGTAGGGGGGAGGCGGAGTGGGGAGAAGAAGAAGGGGGAGGACGAGGAGGAGAAGGAAGGGAGGGAGGAGGAGGAGGAGGAAAAGGAGGATCAGTCGTCTACCCTCATCGTGCCTTCGTCGTGTCCCTGGCGCTGGCGGCAGCCAGGCGCCGCCATCGTCGCGTCGGCCGTCTCCGAGAAGGCCCGCCAGGCCGGGCTGCGGAAGCAGCTCGCAGGCGCCTCGTCCCCGCCGGCGCGTCGCGACGCCCGCGGCGGCCCGCCGCGCCGTGCCTCTCGAATGGTTCGTCTGATCGCTGTCGTCCTTTAGGTAGCTCTCTTACTTTGTATCCGCGTTGCCATTTCCTCTCTTTCTTTGTTTTTCCCGTCGGAGCCGGGTGAACTTCCGTGCCCGCCGGTGACTGATTCATTGACTGACTGACTGGCTGACTAAACGTCCGGAGAGCGATTCTGACAACGCATTAGGAGGATGAGGAGGAGGAGGAGGAGGAGGTGGAGGAGGAGGAGTCACAAGAGGAGAACGATGGGGGGGAGGGGGGGGGCCATGAAAACGAAAGGAAGAGCAGGAGGAGGAGGAGGAGGAGGAGGAGGAGGAGGAGGAGGAGGAGGAGAGTCAGGCGATCGCAAACACGGATTAAGGGGGCGTGGATTAGCGACGGGTCCCGTTGGGAGGGCATCTCCCCCAATCCATGGATTTGGCGACCGCGCGTTAAATCCATGGATCACTAATCTATGTTTGCGCGCCCCCGAGAGAGGGAGCAGGCGAAGGAGAAGGATGATGTGGTGCAGGAGCAGGGGGACGAGGAGGAGGAGGAGGACGGAGAGGAGAAGGAGGACAGGGAGGAGGAAGAGAGGACGGCGGGCAGGCTGGCCAGGAGGAGGAGGAGGAGGAGGAGGAGGAGGAGGAGGAGGAGGACGATGGGTAGGGGGATACATGGGTGCGGGTGC